TAATTAAGTTCAAAGATAAAAATTGATTGAGTTTAAAAAATTAATATCTCAAGAACTAAAAGATATTTTGAAAAACGGTCTTTTTCGTTGAAAAGCTGATACTTTCTCCTATAATTCTTAAAAATTATATAGCGGTATCTTAAACGATGAATTTTTGACGATTTTTTGAAGATGTTTCAGTTAATTAATTTCAAAGATAAAAATTGATTGAGTTTAAAAAATTAATATCTCAAGAACTAAAAGATATTTTGAAATACGGTCTTTTTGGTTGAAAAGCTGATACTTTCTCCTATAATTCTTAAAAATTATATAGATTTGAAGATGGAACTAGAATCATTCGAGTTTAGCAGTCTTGAAAGACGTGTGGCTAAACCTGACTGTTTCTAGTTCTAGGTCTAGTGTTAGTTCCAGTTTTAATTGTTATTCAGCGTTAGGTTGTGGTATATTTTTATTGAACGAAAAGTAGTTTCGCTGTTTGGTTACTGCATTCGTATATTGCGAGTTACATGAAATTCCCGATATATGGTTTAATCACTTAACTAAAAATTTATTTCTCTTTAATTTTTAATCAACTTGATTAATTAATAAGATTAATCAACAACGTTAAGTATTAAACCCAAACGTTGATTTATTTCATTCGCGTTCCAATCTCATAACTCCGAGCACACGAAGCGTAATAGTTTTTAATGAGACGTCGCAAGAAGCTCGTCTCTATCGCAAGTCATTTCGTTGCCCATCACGCAAGACTCCAAGTACGATTATAATTGATGCGATTTTACTGTCTAGACGTCAAGTACACAATTGAGAAATATATTTGAACGTTAATTTAACAATAATGTGTCAACTAACACAGTTAGTTATAAAGCTACTTTCCCTTCTTATAAAGAGATGAAGATGATTACGTGCAAAGTGGAAATGAAAGTTTTTAGAGAAAGCTGTATGTTTCTTTGATGATACGATTTCTTGTAATTGTAATAATATCAGTGGTTAAACTAATATAAAAATACATAAAAGAAAAATAAAATCTCACATCTTTTATTTAGTCTTTAGCGCCATCTGGTGAAATCTGTTATCAGTAAAAGAAATGTTTTGTTTTGAAAATATCGTTTTGTTAAATGTAGAAAAATAACTAAACGCATTTTTCTTGGTATGGTCAATACAAGACACACACACAAACCTATTATAAAAGTGGTAGACCGTATCTGATTGATTTAGTCAGTGTGACTTGGACAATAATAGCCGATGCATCAGCAACTAATAGACGAGGGTAGTTTCCTATTGTACTCGATTTAACGGCGTCGAAAACCATTGTCATACTGAAACGGTATCTATTGTGTAGCACCGATGAGGAAGATACCTAATTATTAGAATGAACTTATTTTTCTTATTAATATTTAAATTATCTTTTATGTCTGAATTTATTTTGTTTAGACAAAAATGATATTGCGACAAAAATATTTTTTTTGTTATTGGGGTGTAAAACTCCTGATATAATCAAAGGTAATTGATTGTTGTATAAAGCTGGACCACATAAATCTCCCTTAAACAAAAAACTTTATGAAAGAGACAAATTTCAATAAACTTATAACATACTTTCAAAACACTAGTACAAATTGTGCTATTAATGTGCGGTTACGCTTTATAATATTAGCCGCAGCTTTTTGAAAATTATACGGTCGCTGTTTGTTGGCATTAACGTACCCATAACCATATATGCATAACCAACCACCAACAGGTGGAATTATATTTGTGTAATTAATAGTATCAACTTGATTGTTTAAATCAACATTTTGTCCTCGTCGTATTTAGGATGATATCGTATCGATTTCGCTTTATACCCAACAAATATCAACGCATTGACCGGCAGTTATAACTTTATTTTATCTAACTAGAGTTCCTCCACAAGTGTTATCACCGCATAAAACGAAAACATAAAAGTTTGCATAAGAAATATCGATGCTGTAATCATTTCTAATTCATTTATTATATAAGGATCATTATGGTGATATCTTGTAGAATTATTTTCGTTTTCGGTGTAAACTAAAATGAATAAGAGTAAAATAAGAATAAGTTACCTGATTTTATGTTTAATTATTAATCATTTAAGTTTCTTTAATTATTCATCAGCTTACTTTCACTGATTATGTTAAAATATGTTTAGTTGTGCAAAATAAGCAAGCAAGAAATAACTTTAAAACAAGAAATTTCAATACTTCTAACGATTCTGATATTTTTCTATGACCTTAGACTACATAGCTTAATTGTTATAAATATAAAGGTATTTACGTTATTATTTGAAATAATAATACAAACTTCCGGATTGAAAAACGACTTTAATTTTGCATAAAAATAAATTCGAAGTATTCGCGAATACAAATTAAAATTAAGGGGCATATTTATGAATAAACTTCATTACTTCTGGATGAGCTACCGCGACAAAACAATTCGTTAGAGGGGTATTACCGCAATGGGTATATCCTGATATTACCCCAACTAATTGATTGTTGTATAATGCGGGACCTCCCGAATCTCCCTTTAAATAAAAAAAATTAATATAAAATCTAAAATATAAAACAACCTTGATATAACGGATTGCATAAACAATTCGGGAAATACCCTAACTTTATCAATGAACCTAACGTTTATATTTAAATATAGTGAGGTCCGTTATACCGAGGTTTTATTGTATAAAGAAAACTTACTGGCAAAGCACTAGAACCAAATTGTGCTTGTGTACGTATTAATGTACCTTTAACATCAATAATATTTGCAGCACCTTTTTGTAAATTATTTGGCCTCTCTTTATTAAGATTAATAAGCCCGTAACCATATATACATAACCATCCACCAACGGGTGGAATTATATTTGCGTAATTAATCGTACCAACTTTATAATTCAACTCAACATTTTGTTTAAGTGTAGCTACAGCTATATCGTAAGGACGACTACCAGCGTACTTAGGATGAATCTTGATTGATTTAGCTTTGTACTTCTTAGCTACCGAAAGTTCCGAAAGGGAATTCAATCCAACTGTGAACTCAAATTGGCGAAAATTACAACTATCGACGCAATGGGCGGCTGTTATAACTTTGTTTCGTCTCACCAATGTGCCTCCGCAGCTTTTGTGAGGACATGAAACGTAAATGTAAAAGTTTGCGTAAGCGATATCGATGGTGTATCCATTTCCTATTCGTTTATCGTCCGTAATGAATGAGATATTTTCGTAGGATTCAAACGGGAAAATTATGGTGGAGTTATTCTTAATTTGAGATTGTGCTAATAATTACGATTAAAAAATTATAATTAAATTAACGAAATAAATGTTACTTACCTGTTGTTACAAACAACAAGAATGCTAAATATATGGTGTACATATTGAAATTGTTTTTAAAACGAGGTATATGTTATAAAAGCTATGAATATCTATGATTGTATCGGTGAAGTTGTTTTTCTATGACCTTAGAGGACATACCAAACATGATTGTTATTATAATTACGAAAGTATTTGCGTAGTACTTGAATAAAAATGTAAAGTAACGTTTTTAGAAGAAGATTATTTAATTTCCTTAGTATCATCTAAATCAGTTTCCACTGGAAGCGTAATGATTGAATCATTTTCAATAAAAAAATCAGAAAACACTAATATTAATATAATTATTCTAATACCTGTGGTTAAGCACAAGAAGAACGTTAAACTAAAACTTCCGGGGTTCATGTTGACTTTTTTTTAATAATGATTTGCTTAACAAAAACCTTACATTATATAGATGGCGAAAAAATTTTTGCATAAAAAAGTGATTACTTAACTTTTTTTCACAGAAGTCTTATTAGTATTACCACTATTACCTTAAGAATTTGAATTTATGTAAAATTTTGAAAAAGAAATCATTAGTTAGGTGATTTTAAAATTAATCATTTTTAAAAATGCACCGATGACGTTAAGCAGTATAATGGCATGTTAACGTTGAATTTTATATATGTCTGCATTGCTAATTTCAAAACCAGCTCGTGGAAAACAAATTTCCCATAATATGCATTAAAAAGAATAACAAACATTCTAATTTTCGCTGCTAAATGATTCTGCAAAACATTCGGGTTTATTCATCTACATTTTCATTTAATCAGACGTTAATCTTGGATTAACGATCGATTACCAAAAAATTAACCTGACGTTAAGCCTCAATTATGATTTTAGTGTTTTCAATCAAGTAAAATAATGATATTGATAAGGAAAACATTCTAATAAATAAATAATGTTTGTTATATATCACACTTTATTTCTATTAAAGATATTAATAAAGATTAATAACAAATATATTGATATGTGAAAATTATGGCGCATATCTGCGTATAAAGTTTAATATTTGTGGATCACCGATTCCAGCAAAAGCATTCTGATAAATGATGTTTTGATTTGTCCAAAAATACCCCGACACTACACCGGTTAATAAACCGTTGTAAACCGCAGGACCGCCTGAATCACCCTAAAAAAGTTTTTAATATAAAAATTGAATTAAAATTTTTATAATTAAAACTTACTGGTAGAATGGTAGGCCCTCTTGGGCCTACTACTTCTGTATAAAAGCAAGTTTGTTTATAATAGATAACTTTCAAGTTAGCTCTTTGTAATTTTATTGATGTTGGGCCTTCCTTCAATCCGTCAATCATCCCGTAACCAACAACGGTTACGAAATTTCCTACAGGTGGAAGGGAAGTTGCGTAATTAATCAAATCAACTCTGTTGTTTAATTCAACATCTTGAGTCAACGTAACAACAGCAATATCGTATGGAAATTTAGCTTGTCTGTTGTAGTTAGGATGCATCACAATAGAGCTAGCTCTATATTTTCTTGCTGAATTATATTCATAAATTGAATTTAACCCAACAGCAATTGTAAAATCATTAACGTGGCAGTCCATCACGCAGTGAGCCGCAGTTATAACTTTATTTCTTCTTACCAAAGTACCTCCACATTGAGTTCCACTGCATTTCATATAAACATAGTATTTTGCTTGAGTAATATCGATGGTCTCTCCACTTCTTATTCGTTTATCATGATTGTTAAACGAAGCGTTGTGATGATTTTCTTCTGGGATCGAATGTTTCTTAAGGTGATTTCTTATTTTTTCATGTTCAAATAATGAATTAGATAACACTAAAATTAAAATATTAACAATATTGGGTTGGCAACGCTGTATACATACCTAATGTTGAACACAAGGAAACCATAAAATAGAAAGAGTTATTCATGTTGAATTGTTTTTTTCAAGCTGGATTTGTTAACGAAAAACTTAGTTTATATAGATGGAAAAGAAAATTCTTTGCATAAGGCAGTAATTATTTTCATAGAAATCTTATTGTTTAAAAGTTTTATGCAAAATTTTTCCTCAAAAATTACTTAATTTAAATTTTTTTATGACTTATTGCCAATTAGTTGTTTTAAATTTATAATTTATTTTGTAACGATGATTCATTTCAAACTCAAAAGTTAATTTAATTTTTTTTTTTTGATGTTAGTAGCTCACTAGTAAAAGTTCATTAATCACAGTCACGTTCCGTAGCGTTAAAATAAATATGTGCCATTAATTTTGCCATGTGTCATAATGAGGGTCCATTGAAACGAATAGATTGGGACGGTTGATGGGTTAATTTTGAAAAAATTCAACCTCGGATGGTCCCGATTAACCAACGAACCAACCCAACAACACCTGACCCGGATTCATTTTCGGAAGGTTCCATCGCCTTTATTGTTATGGGCTCCAGTCACGTAATTTACAACGAAACGCGCCGAAAGCATTAGTTCTTGGGTGCATATTAAGTAGACAAATGATGAATTTGCCATTGTATTATAAAATCTTATATGATCTTATCGTTGAAGGGAAAAAATGCGGTTTCCTTTTTATAATCATGTGATTTGCAAAAGAAACGAAATATCTTATTTGCTTTCTTCTTTAGAATAATACTTAATTTTTACTTCGAATAGTTATTTTTGCATGCACGCGCACGTGCATGTTTTAAGTTTATATCGTTTTTCCACGTCACGTACTGTTATGCAAACATGAAATTTCAAAATCATTAATCGAAGTACCACGACCATAACCTTTTGTATCAAATAGTTTCGTGTACAAGAAGATTGAATTTAAAACAGTCCAAGTGTTTACTTTCTTTTTCGTCCAATACACGAATTAGTTTTACTTAGCACGTTTAAAAGTTCATTAAGGTGGTATCCTAAGTAAATCTTAGATGTGGGAAGAAATTTAATCTTTCTTGGAAAAATAAGAAAATCAATATTTTAACTTGTTAACACCGCATGCGAGAACGAAATGGTTTATGTTTACAAAAATTTGTTTTGAAAAAGTGTTTCTTTATCAAGGATTTTCTTCGAAGTCACATCTGCATAACAAGTTTTGAACAAGTGTTGCCTGCACTCACTACGTCTTATTGTGGACGTTGTAATTAAATCAGATTGTTATGTGTTCTTGGAAAAGCGGGCGCGGTTACTGGACGAGAATAGCATTTGGAAAACTCGATGTGCACCCAATAGACCATAAATTATTTGACCAATTGCTACCACACTAAATTTGTTAGAAGAACAAAAAAATGCAAATTTATTCAAACTTTTACCCGTAATTTCCNATTATTTCAAAAATTTATTTCTCAAGAACTAAAAGTGATTTTTCAAAACGGCTTTTTGCATTAAAAAGAGGATACTTTAATTAATAATCGAAAGTGATAACAGTGACAGTTCTGTTAATAATGAATGTGATGATAAATTACAAGTGAAGAGAAGAAAACTAGACGAAAGTTCAATTCAAGCCAAGAGCTGCATAAATCAAGTCATAAAATACTGTCCATCAATATAAATTACATTCTTTGCCATTAACTTATCTCTGGAATAAATTTTGAAGTTACCTAAAAGTTAGCAGTTAGGAGTAGTCGTAACCAAACAAGGAAATGTGACTTCAACTTCATCATTATAGAATCTAAATCCTTGATGACTATAACGAGAAGGAGCAGAAAGAGTCTTCTTTAAGTAGTTGTGGAATGAACGTCCGTAATGAAAGACCTTTTTCATGTCAAAACATAACAAAGTTTGCCACTAATACTAAATATATAGTATTATTAAAATTTTAAGACGTCATTAAATATTTTTAACAACACCTTTACAAAGTCCATTTTCCATCTGACACATCCATTTGGTATACGAAACAATTCCCTTCAGTTAATGCACGTAATCGTCATTCTCATAATCTCTGGTATTTTTCGGGTGGGATTGGTCGTATCGTAAGCTGAATTCTTGACAATGACAGATCGGTCACGCAAATTACCCACTAACACGCTACATCCACCTAACTACCCCGCTTTTTTTTTTATTTCTGCCTTGTCGCTTTCTGTGCCGTATTGTAGAACACACAAAGAAAAGCAATTTTTCATCGTACATCGTCGTCCTAATTGAATTTAAATACGACCAAGCGTACACGAAACCGAACCAGAACCGATAATGAAAAAAGGGATAAAGAAATCAACTTGACAGTTGGTTATGTTATAACGAAGAAGAAAACGTACAACTTTTATCGTTATCTATTTGAGAATAGATAACCGGTTGTGTGGTATTTGGACTCGTTTTCAATCGGTGCATTTATTTGTTACCTGGTTTGTATGCAGAAGGCGATAAGAAGACAAGGTGACGATTTCAGTTATTTTTTTTTTATTTAGGATTGTGAGTCCAACAATGAGATAATGATCGAAATTTCGTTTGAAGACGTCATTTTTACTAATATTTACTTTGAAAATGGCGATCAAACAAGAATCGAGATAAATTTATCTTAAAATGGTTTGATTGATGTTTTATTCCTCCTCAGAAGACCCCGACTATTTACACGTCACGTTTTGAAAAATTATTTCCTCTCGACAGCCCGTTTTACTCTTATTATTTGTTTAATCGACCCAATATCCTGTTTTAATTGTTCTTCTTTGATGTCGCGCCGGAACATATTTAAACCTATTTTTCACATGATTTAACCGCATTCTAAGTGTCTTACGTTACAACGTTGCGTTAACATAATTTTTTTGTGTTATTTTTTATCTGATTTTTTTTTATATTATTTTATAATACCGCCTGCTGACCGCATATAAAGATAATTAGATCGCTCGATAAGATACATATTCGATTTACATCCTGTTTTATCGGAATACCTATCTTCGACGTTGCTACACGTCGTTCTGGTATAAGATACCAAAGAGGTCGATGGAATTTATATTTTAGATCATAACCAACTTTATTACGTAAGAAAGAAACTTCTTTTTCTTTTAGATTACTAAATCGAATTCAATTCTGTCTTTCTTTGAGATTACTCAATTAAACGGCTTTAAATGGACGCAACGGCTCCGTCAATTCAGGTTCCGGTAATGGCACCTTTAAGGGTTTAAAGTCTGCGATTTAATACACGTTTATACGGTCGAAACCCGTAGTCAGGCGGAGAGATTGCCTCCTGGGAATCTTTAATCCACAGCCGCAAACTGCGAATGAGGCATTTTTTATATGCTTTACTCGTTTTTAATTGCGTCATGTGTGCCCACTTCGAATGGATGAATTCGTATTCCTCAACATGTGGTGGACGAGAAGATTAAGGTAATGTTGTATTTTGTGTTAAATCGCCGAGAATTTATCGTAAATTATTGAACAATGTGGTTGTGAGATCGTTGCAAAGATTATAACACCTGTGTGTCACTTAATTCTTGTAAGTACATTTTGCAATAACTTACATAGTGATCGTTATCTTCTAGATAATAGTGATTTTCGTATTGGTGTAATTCAAGTTAACCTTTAAGACCTTCATTATAATTCGCCACACAAAGTACCGCAATACAACAATCTCCCACCGCAAGTGCGTGTCCACGAATATAATCCACCTGTGTGTCCACACGTATTTCGTATTAAAGTCGGACATTTCAAACAACGACACCGTTTTACCACCGTGGATTACCCCTCTGCTCGGTGGTTTTTCACTTGTAGTGAAATAGAAATGAAGAATGTGCGCGGGTATAACGCATTCAAAATGAGAGATAGAGAGAAAACTTAGTACTTACTTCGTGCGGGTGAGATCAAAAGAAGTGGAAAAAAGAACGTAAGGGAAAAAGAACCACACCTGAGCGAGACGCCGGACTTCGGACTCATCCTTTGAAATTGCCAGTTGAAAAGAACTTTGAGTTTACACGGCGGCTTCCTCTGGGAAATCGCTTCAAAGGGGGAGCAAACACTGCTGAAGAAGACGTCGCGTGTATGTTGTAAGGTGGATGCTCATTAGTATTCTAGTACCTCGATCAAAGATTTAATTAGTAACAAGGAGGTTCGTTTCGTTTAAAGTGACACTAAATTGTAATTGAATTTTTTCTGCTTCTAAAAGCGAATTTCTTTTAAGATGTAATATACATAAATATATTTCCATAGAAACCAGGGTTACTTTGTTCCATATAAAATGTGTTGCATATTTTTATTGAATTAAAACTAGAACTACTACTAGACCTAGAACTAGAAAGTTTCTGGTGTAGAGACTGATTTTAGGTCTAGTATTAGTTCTAGTTTTGCCCTAGCACTGTCACTAGAACTAACACTACACGTAGAACTAGCAATATTCTATTTTATGAAGATGTTTAAAATAATTAAGTTCAAAGATATATAATATCTCAAGAACTAAAAAATATTTTGAGAAACGGTCTTTTGCGTTGAAAAGCTGATACTTTCTTCTATGATTCTTAAAAATTATATAGCAGTATCTTTAACGAATAATTTTTGACGATTTTTTGAACATGATTAAGTTAATCAAGTTTAAAGATAAAAATTGATTGAGTTTAAAAAATTAATATCTCAAGAACTAAAAGATATTTTGAAAAATGGTCTTTTTCGTTGAAAAGCTGATACTTTCTCCTATAATTCTTAAAAATTATATAGCGGTATTTTTAGCAATGAATTCTTGACGATTTTTTGAAGATGATTAAGTTAAGTAAGTTCAAAGATAAAAATTGATTGAGTTTAAAAAATTAATATCTCAAGAACTAAAAGATATTTTGAAAAACGGTCTTTTTCGTTGAAAAGCTGATACTTTCTCCTATAATTCTTAAAAATTATATAGCGGTATCTTTAANAGCGCGTGATAGCCGCGTGTTATACACCACTAGAAAGAGCAGAAAATTTTCAATAAGATAGATATGTTTCTATAGTTTTCTCCCTATCAAATAAGAAGGTTGTTTAGAGGAAGGGTATTTAAGCGCTTCTTAAGGGATGGACATTAAGGGTGATTTAAGCATGACGCCGATAGATATTGACCGACGAAAACCCGGATTGAGATAGCTGAAGGAGCGCCCTTTCTGACTGTGATAACAGTTTTTTAAAATTCGGTTTCGTAACAATTGCACAAGGCCTTGAAGTTTGATAATTTTGAGCTATTTTAAGTACAGCGTGGTGTTCTTCATTTTTTATTGATCTTAATATCAACTTATCGGCAGACGAAAACCCGGTTTTAGATAGAGAAAGATTCAAGCTTTCAAGTGGTGCATTTAGTTTTTCGCTATCCCTAATTATAAGGAAGATATCAGCTAAGAAAGTAGATAGGAAATTACGGGTAAAAGTTTGTTGCTGGGAGGTTTGTTGCTATTGTCGCACGGGTTCCTAAAGAGTTATACTAAAGAATCTTAATTTTTGGGGATAGCCGAGGGTGGAACACGAAATTAAATCGGCTTTGATTTAAAACTCCCTCCTCTTGAATCAACGTAATTAAATTACTCTTCAAAGTTTTTAACCAAAACAAACAAAATATGTAATTTCAAATTAACGGTAAACATTATTATGAAGTCAAAAAAACTTTCAGAACCTTTTAGGATGAACTGTTTAATTCTCCAAAGTTGCCAGACATAACAATCATACAACATGACATTGATATTGTCCAGGACACAAAATATTTGTAGTAATAAATTTATTATTCATTCAGTTTCGTTTATTTTTGTGGATAAATTTATCAAAAAGTGAATGATTCAAAACTAAGAATAGGTGAGGATCAGGTAAACTATGAGTCACGTTTCTTGCAAATAATCCCAAATGGCCTGTTCAGATAGTATCGAAGAGGTTTCCGCCGGTGTTAAAGATATGCAAAACAATACCGTTGAGGATATATTATAAGAAATGAATAAGCGGTGTTACTTTATAACAAGTCACAAATAGAATACTTAATAATATCTATTCATGATTGCAATACGCGAGGAATTTCTCGGAATGCCATAATCATTTCGTCCAATTAGACGGAATAAGTGCTTCGACCCTTCTTTATTTACACTTCACTCTATAAACGTCTTCTTATCGACTGCACACAATTCATTGTTGCCAATGACCCGGTAAATCCTCATCTATAACGCTACATTGGTTTTGTGATACCACCTCGGGATTCGGTCTCCTACGTTCGTCAAGAGATAACGTCTCATATAGTGTCGGGTTGCAGGCCATGATCCGTTATATCGGCGGAGGATCTATCGAGTGAAGAGGGAAGTACTCCAGAAGGGTCAACTTCCCAGGGACAAAAAACATAAATAAAAAGCTAACTTAGTATAATTGACCAATTATGCTTCGCGAAACTTAAACGCTTTTAATGGCTAGGTATAAGAAAATTGTTTAAGAAAGTTAAAATGTTGTTGTTACGGGACATTTCAATTTTTCACGTATAATATCGAATTTCACACCTTTCGGTATTCACCGCGACCTCACACGGTTTCGTCAGTTAATGCACCTTCTTCTACGGCATACAATAAGACCATTAAATAAAGCCGTCCATTAGGTAAACTAATAACTCATGAGTCAGGTGGTTACCTGCTCGGACGAAGAATGTAAATAATAATAAACAGCCTCGCGTCGGCGAACAGATAATAAAAGTTCTCATTGTTCGACCTGTGGTTCGGGTCGAAGCGGAAGGACGTGTTCGAACAGGCCAGAAACCGGAGCGAACCTTTAGCGGGGAAAGACGACGGGACGAGCCGCTTAGCACTTCCGACCGATTTTGCCGTCGATAGGGTGGACTGATCGACGACGGTTCCCCCCAATTAGGTAGCGTTAAAACATTCGCATTCCATAGATATTTGGGTCCGCATTCTCTCCCACGATCGCCCGGTCATCTACACTGGCTTCGACAAGGTCGAACTCGAAACGTAGCCCATGGTGTTGTAACAGGACCGGGTTATAACCTTTTCAAAATCCACACCCAAAATCAATAGATTTTTAGAACCGGATTAAATGATTCATCAATAAGTTTAGTAATAGATCAATATCTATTTTAATTATTATACTCATTTATTTTGGTTATACAACAATTTAGCACTGAATAACAATTAAAACTAGAACTAACACTAAAACAAGGACTAGAAAGTTTCTGGTTCTAGATCTAGTGTTAGTTCTAGTTTTACTTTAATGTCAATATGTAATATAGTGATATCTAGTGCTAATTAGCACTACCTAGCACTGTCACGAGAACTAACACTAGATCTGGAACTAGAAACATGCGTGTTTAGCCGTACGTCTCTTTAAGACGGCTAAACCCGAATGATTCTAGTTCTAGATCTAGTGTTAGTTCAATAAAAATATACAACAACCTATCACTGAATCATAATTAAAACTAGACCTAGAACTAGAAACATTCTAGTTTAAACGTTCTAGTTTTACTTCAATGAAAAATATATGTAATGTCAATCTAACGCTGAATAACAGCTAAAACAAGAATTAGCACTAGCATTAGAACTAACACTAGACTTAGAAGTAGAATCATTCGGGTTTAGCCGTCTTGAGAGACGTGAGGCTAAATCCGAATGATTCTAGTTCTAGGTCTAGTGTTAGTTCTAGTTTAATACTAACACTGTCACAAGAAATAACACTAGACCTAGAACTAGAATCATTCGTGTTTAGCCGTCTTTAGAGACGTGCGGCTAGAACTAACACAAGACCTTGAACGACTTTTAAACGTCAATTTGACAATTAAACGTCGATATCGTTAAAATCTAGATCTCAAAACACTCAAAAATCAATTAAATTAATGTAAAAAATCGTTTGGAAATACTAAAATTAAAGAAATATATTATTATTATGTGATATTCATCAAAACATTTCAAAAAATTTAGGTTGGTACGATTTTAGTGATATTTGTTGTGGTTTTTAAATGTCAAAATGACGTTTAAACGTTAGGATGACATTTGTATGTCAAAATTATTAAAAAAATCCAAAACGGCTATAAATAGAACAAGAAAAATAAAATATCGATAAGAAAGTTGGATGGAAAATAGAAAACAAGCATTTATCACAATGAAATAATGAAGACCATTATTGCAAAAGGATCTGTAAAAATGTAAAAATATTGTTTGACTTTTAAACGTCAACTTGACAATTAAACGTCAACATCGTTAAAGAAAGTAGATATTAAAAAAACTCAAAAATCAGTTAATTTGATGAAAAAAAACTTTGTGAAATATTGAAAGTGGCGAAATATACTGATATATCATAAAAGTCATAAAAAATGACGTTTAAACGTTAAGATGACATTTGAATGTCAATCATTCAAGAACTAGCATTAGAACTAACACTAGATCTACAACTAGAAACATTCGGGTTTAGCCGTCTTAAGAGACGTACAGCTAAACCCGAATGATTTTAGTTCTAAATCTAGTATTACTTCTAGTTTTATACTATAAGTCGAGTTATTAAGTAGAATAATATTAATAGTATATATTCATAAAAATATTTTGATCCTTATTCCGGTCCATTTAAAAGGATGAGAGAGATGTGTGTCCTTATAAAGGAAGAGAGTCCAGAAATATGCGAGCTTTCAAGTTGCCCGACCGGCCTGAAGCACACGGTGGAGGGGCGTAGGAGGAACCTCACCACGTCTACCTGTACACGTGATATAGGATCAGAGAGGACGACGTCGAAGATTCCCAGTTCCTCGCGTTGGTATGCGCGAGTACGTGTGACTCACCCAAGACGTGTTCCTACCTGATTTGAGTCCTGTCATTGATAAACTAAACACTTATTGGCCGCCCCGGATAATCGTCATCTTTAAAAAAATCATCTTCTCATAACCCATAACAGTTATAGTCGATGATTACTAACATTATTTAACATCTTGGTTCTTTAAGAATCTTTTTTTAAAATTTTTTTATGTTTCTTCGTGGTGTTGGTTCAATTGCAGTGGCATTCCTCTCCCCTGCGCGATACAATAGAGAGAAATTCGAAAGCCTGGTGGTCTTGAATAGAGAGAGGACGAGGAGGAGACGCCGTCGGCATTCTTCTCCCAGCAGGCGAGGAGGGCTATATTTCACCTTGGGACAGTTTTATCGACTGTGAATTAATAACTGCGAGCAGCTTACAGTCACCGGATGTGATGATGGCGTAGTATTCATTCACGACAAGACGTATCGCCTCGAATGCTACGTTGTGCCAACGTTGCCACAGTATTATTAGCAAATCCTCGACGATAATTTAACACGTATTTACAATTTTTTGAATCTGTCATATTTAAAATTAATTAATCCAACTTAACCTTTAATGTATTATTAAGAATTATAGTGTGTACGATAATCACAAAGATTTGTGACTAATTATTTCAAACGTGCAATAAATCTTCGAAGATATTTAATGGGGAAGCATTTAACATCGATATTTATTAGACAGAGTCCATGAGGCAACATGCAGAGTCTCTAATCTTCTCCTCTTTCACGTTCTGTTGTATTCATGCAATTAAACGTGGCCGTTCAAGAATGTATGGTAGTTAACAGCAAATAAACACTCCTACTCACCGTGTAATGGTCAATTCTAAAATTAGAAGTAAATTAATAAACGTTCATTTATAACATCAAAAAGTTTCATTTTTTAATTCTTAAGCAAATTAATGTCAGTTTTTTATTAAACTCTATAATCTTTCAAAAAGATTAAATTAACATTCCATAACTTCAATGGGGAATTTCATTTCGTATTGAAGAAAACTCATTCGTTCGTTCAAGTTGTAATCTTTACAACCTCGTAACACTTAATAACACCGTTATGTATTTGCCTCTATTCAAAAGCGATCGCTTTTCAATTCTTGTTTTTATTGGTATGGTTTCTAAAGATGTCTTTTATCGTTTCAGGTCCCATATGCGGAGCGGGATCGTGTTGTGGAGAAACTTTCGAAGAAAAGCTCCTCGCCGATAGTAAAATCCACTTGGATCGATATCTAAAAGACGCGATAACGAGGATAGCATCAATACTGGATACCAGGGCGAAGCGATTTGACGATACGTTCAAAGATCTTTTGCAAAAATCCAAAAAGGATTTCCACGAGATGTTTAAAAAAACGTATGGTCTTATTTATCTCCAACACGCTCAAGTTTTTTCGGATTTCTTCGCCAGTTTGGAGAAGTATTTTAAGTCGGGACAAATCGCACTATCTGATACGATAGAGAAATTTTTTAATATTTTGTATATACGGATGTTCACGGTGATGAACGCTCAGTATCATTACGACAAGAAGTACCTGAAATGCGTCGAAAAGTTTATGAACGAATTAAAACCATTCGGAGATGTGCCTCAAAAATTTAAATTACAATTAACGCGATCCTTTGTCGCCACAAAAGTTTTATCTAAAACGTTGAGCAACGGAGCTTCAATAGCTCATAGTATGTTAACGTTTAAAACCGACGAAGATTGTGCTCGAAAATTAGTTGAAATGAAAAACTGCGCCGTTTGTACAAACCAAAAAGATCGATTACCATGTTCTTCATACTGCTCGAATACTTTACAAGGATGTTTAGAACACTTTTCGATTATATCAGATCATTGGGATAATTTTGTTGGTAAGTAATCCATTTATTTATTTCTTTTATACAAAAAATTTGGTGCAAAAGAAGTGTTAGAGAGAAACTCCAATTTTAATTTAAGGATCTTTTATGTAAGGCAACCCCTTGCTGTTTGGATAATGAGGGGTATCTAGGTTTTTTTTTTTTGAGGTAGGAGTGGGTGCTTAAGAGGGTAATTACACGGTGAAAAATAAGTGGTTCTAAATTATAGAAGAGATTTTTATCATAAAGGAAAAATGCTACTTTAAAAACTTCACTTGAAATGAGTCTTTATAAACAATTCTTTTTTGTAATGCGATAATTTATTTTATCTACGACTGCTTGGATAAGTCATCATTACCACACTCATTTNTGTTTGTCAAAAACTGATTTAGTAGCTTCTTGAGGTGTGGTGGCGCGCCATCTTGTTGGAATAACTGCCGTTGGAATTGAGTTGGGTGAAAATTAGCGGGATGGAAGGAATAACACAGTTTTCAAAAATTTAAACATGTCTTTCCAGTTCCTCAAATCTTTTGCGGATATTGTTTGTGCGCATTTTAATGTCTACAGTAAAGTAACTAAATTTAAAGTCTACTAGTATATTTACAAGTAACTCTACTAGTATGGGATGTAATCACAAAGTCTCCTGATTTTTCAGCATATAATACGGTGGTGAGGGAAAAAAGTAGAGTTGCCATTTAAAAAAATAAACTTTTTGAGATACGGAAATTTGACGCACATTTCTGACCATCCCGTATAACTTTAATTAATAATTGTTGTTAAATTAAAGTGTATAATTGTTATTAANGACTTTTCTAAAGAAATTGATTTTTTAGTAATTTTTAGCAGTCGTAGATAAAATGCTGTATATCACACGTGGGCTAGAGCATAATTACAGTACTCGTGTGATTACACGACTCTGTCTACGACCTCGTCGTGCAATTCTCCACACTCGTACTGTAATTATGTTTCTAGCCCACTTGTAATATAAATAACTATTATCTACGACTACTTGGATAAGTCATCATTACCACACTCATTTGAGGTGATTTGAGTTACGTAATGAAGTTTATTACCACACTGGTTTCATTACGTAACGCATTTTTAACCCAATCAGAACATACTTAATTTATTGAAACAAGCAAGAATACAAAAGAAAAAGTGCTACCTATTTAAAGTGAAACTATTTATTATAAACATTACTTGTTATGTTTTTACATTTCGGAACACTTATTCCAGATGAGTAAATGTTATTGAGACTGACATTAATTCAAAATTGTCAACAATCATTTCAAAATATTTTTATAATTGTCAAAATAGACCTTTTTAAAGAAATTGATTTTTAAGTAATTTTTAGCAGTAGTAGATAAAATGTTGTATATCACACGAGGGCTAAAACATAATTGTGTGATTACACGGTCTACGACCTCGTCGTGCAATTCTCCACACTCGTACAGTAATTCTGTTTATAGCCCACTTGTAATATAAATAACTATTATATAATTTACAAATTACGTTCTGAATCATTTAGAGATTGTCATCATTTTATATTTAGTAGGACGATTTTTTTTAGTTATTTATACCCATTCAGAGACAACATGTGCCGAAGCAATATATGTATGGCAGAAACGATATATCATGCTCAGAAGCTAAATATTAGAAGAATATTAATTAGAATTTTTTCTGCATCCAGTTTTTTTCTATCACATTATTATTATAACATTTCTTCTACACACAGCAGAATCAGTTATATTGAGAGAAAGATAGGTAGCAGATTCCATTGTTGCAATAGATACGTTAAATCAATCTTAAATGCAAAAATGTATGTGTAGAAAAATATCCCGTAGATAAGTGTTATAATAAATATTATGCATAGAAACAGAAATATGAACTTGTGCAAAAGAAAATATCATGTTCAGAAGTGATATATAGATGCAAAATTTCATGCTCATAGACTAAATATCTTGGCAGAAGATTATAGTGAAGTGAAAAAACAAAAATAGATTCATTTGTGTTACAAAATCGTTTTAAATGTATGTAAATACAACAGACAAAAATTTACATATACAAATCTAAATGTATATATCATTATTTATTATTAATATCTTGTTGAATAAGCAAGCCTCCGAATCCAAAATAAGAACAAGGTTATCAAAACAGAACCTATTGTTTAGAACTAGTTGGACTCTTACAATAGATCACAATCGCTTTGAGCGTTTATATTGTATTCAAATTGACAAATCTTCTTCTGCGTGACAAAGGTGGTTCGTTTCAAACGACGGTTGTCTTTTGGTGAACTTTGCGGCATCGCCCCAGTCATTAAAAGCGTCGTGGTTCGATGCCGTCTCGTTACTGCTTTATTTTTTTCCTTTTCTCCGAGGTCTACATCGAGCCCCCGGAGCCGGTTCGAACATGCCGAAATTGCACGCCAAACCAGTTTGAGGCCGATCGAAGTCCCAAATTCCCACATGAGTCCGACCTCCGCCCATACTCACAGATTCCTGTGCGTCCCCATCTCTTTCCCCGTATATGAGAGAGCTCGGTGATCCCAATTCCACCGAATAATGTTGATTTATTGCCGTTTTATTGAACCACAGGAACGAAACTATCATTTATATTAATTTTAACGACGGACAAGAATAACTTATTACTCCCCTATGAGAGATAATGCAATTATTTAATAAAAAATTCTAATTCTAATCTTTTTTTTTGTGAAATTGCAGAAGGTGTGGATAAAATTTCTGATCGCCTCCTTGGCCCATTTAATATAGAAGCGGTTGTTGAACCAATAAATATAAAAATCTCGGAAGCTATTATGAATTTCCAAGAAAGTGGGTCAGCTGTGTCTGAAAAAATTTTTGTAAGCTGCGGAAAACCAGCTTTGGATAGAAGACGAAGAAACGCATCACCAAAAAGTAAAGTCAGGGACGATGAAGTCACCAATCAAAGTAATTATGGAAATAATAAGAAGAAACATGTCAAGAAAACTGAAAGTAGCACTACTTTGGAGAAAATAATCCGTGATATTAAGCAGGTAAGATTTATTAAAGCTAAGTTTTGATGAAAATTAATTTTAATTTTTCTTCGTAGAGAGTCAAAGATTCCAAATTATTCTGGAGACAAATTCCTTATCAATACTGCAACGAAGAAGGCACCTCAGCCAAACCAAGTCAAGATGGTTCATGTTGGAATGGAACAACACCATTCAACATAACAACATCCCCAACAAGTGAACCAATATCTTCAAATCAACAACTACAAGAAGTTATCCAAGAACTACAAATGCTCTCTCAAACTCTTTACAGTGCTCATCAAGGACAAGAAATTGATATCCCCGAAGGCGAAGAGATGTATATAGAAAGTGGATCCGGATCTGGTGATGATAGCTTAGTTGATCAAGAAGAAGGTGAAGACGATGATCGTGAAAATAGCGGGGAAGATACAGTTCCAAGAATACACCCCGAAATTTCTAGTACGACAAGAAAACCGGAACTACCAATAGAATCAATAACTTCACCACCAAAGGGAGCACCAACAGGTGGAAGTGTTGCTGTGTCATTTAATCGTGCCATTATTAGTTATGTACTGCCCATAATCCTAGTTTGGTTTGGGGGTACGATTGCGGACTTACTGTGATATGTGTACTTTGTGTAAATAAATAAATAAAAAGAAGAAATGATGATGAAAAATGTTTAGGTATTAACTAATAAATTTTGTAAAATGTGTGAGATGTATACGCGATGTGTACTAATTTTAGCACAATGATAATAACTCATTAATCGTAAGTGCCCCAATGTAAAAGAAGATGAAAGAAAAAAAAGGAATTATATATAACAAAAGGACAGCGATGAGATATATAAAAAGGCGAGTGACGATGAGATGCTGGACTTTTATTTTAAATAAAGAAAAAAAAACTAGGATAACGAATTGAAACGTAAAAATAAAAGAAAAAACTCTGTGTGCCTGTATGTGTGTGTCTTGTAATTTTTTCATATCAAGTGAACAATGTATTTTTTACAAATCGACGTAATACATTCATATTATAACTGTACATTATTTATTTCCTTATTATAAATAATTAAAAAAAAATCGAAAAAAAGCGATGAAACGATGTCACTTATTTAATTGAAATAAATGTATAAGTATTGGATATTTAACGTTTTTATTTCGAATGGGTGAAAAATTTTAATGTATATGCTTAAAATGAAGAAAAATTAATTCAAAATGTAAATAATGTAAGTGTTTTAAGCGCCATCTTTTGTGATTCAATTCAACGCTGTAATACTTACCCCTCTATTAGAGATGGCGCGAGCTACGTTATAAAAGATTAGCAATAAATAAATTAATAATCTATATTTGTAAGTTATAACTATTAAAAATTAGATTATTTTATGTAAATAAATTAATAATAAACAAATAAATTAATAACTATAAAAAGAAATTTGTTTTTTAATTCCATTTAAGATATTTTTGGTTCTTAATCATTACAAGATATTAATATTAATAGTTGGAAATATCTCCAACATAGGTCTCATTGACTAACAAATTAATTTATAATTCAGAAATTATTTAGTTAAGCACTTAACAAACTAGAATTCAACCTGGAGCAATTCTTGTATCATAGCAAGATTTAGTAAAAATTGTTTTTGAGAGTCTTGGAAATATGAATTGAATTGGAAGTTTAGTTTTAATTAAACATTGAATCCTAACTTTTTCTATCTTAACGTTTTTTTTTGCAAAAAATTGATATATTTATAAGAAATTATCTATTTAATTGATTATTAACAAGATAGAATTTTTATGAATTTATTTGTATGCTATAAATAGTTTATAACTTTTACGTTTCATTTGTGATAATTTTCATTGGAAAGATAACAAAATATTTAGGATACCGTAAAGATAGAAAGTTATTTCTAGGTATTACTTTTAAAGTAAAAGTTCCGTTCGAGAAAATGTTCTATTTAGAACTCAAAAAAAGTATAATAAGTATATAAAAACTTGGGAAAATTTGTATATGTAGTAAATATTAACTAATCAATTATTAATTAAATTCTTAAAGAAACCAAAAAGATTGATTCTAAAAGAATTCGTGATTAAATCCAAAAGAATTTTGATCCAACATTTTTTCTGTAATTATCACTTACTATTTAATCATACAATTAAAATAAATCAATTTATTTTAAAATTTTCATTCAAAAACTCGTAGTTTTCATCAAACATATGTTAATTAACGCCAGCAACAAAAATAAAAAAACGAGTAACAATTTAAAAAATTTTTATTGTAAATAACATTCTTATGATTATAATTATTAGATCAGGCATTTATATAACTTTGTGGTCTTGTTTTCATGTAGACGAACCCAGCAATGAATATCAAAATTCCAATTACCGCTGGTATCACCACCGTGTAAACTTGGCGTTGAATGTCTTCGAAATCTTTCTTCCTCTGCTTCTTATCCTTGCTCGTTTCCTTTTGTTTACCCTTCGATTGACGCATTATAGGTTGGTTATTTTATTTTATAAAACACCTTTTCTTTTTCGTTTCTTCGGAATAAGTTTCCGACTTTTTTTCCTAATAACCACACTTAGCTACCTGTCGTTTCAATGCTGACGTATCAACAACACTAAAATCTGGGGTTATGTTCGCGTGTTTAAATTGTCTGACGTTGGCTAATATCGGTAAAGTAGGTAACTGTAATCGAGCCAACTTAGCGATTTTAATCAATTTTTTAATAATTAAAAAAAAACTTTGCAAAAACACTAATTCTAAGGTAATTGTTCCTTACCATCGTAAAAACCATAATCGATTATATACTTTAAAAAGAAATGAGTAAATCAATGAAAATAAACAGGTCGACACCTAACCTACAAATTCTTTATTTTATAACCACGCACAAAATCAATCTGATAAACTAAAAGTAAAGTTATTTTCACTGAACTAGGTGAGATTACAACGTATATTTACGGATGAAACACCTTGTTTTTCTTACGGTTTCGATGCATAATTAATGACTCACTACCTGTCGTTAGATAGACTGTGTGTCAATAGATTCCTCAAGGTCTTCTGTTAGTTCTAGTGATAGTGCTAGTGTAAAACTAGAACTAACACTAGAACTAGAAAGTATCGGGTTTAGCCGTCTTAAGATACGCACAGCTAAACCAGAATGTTTCTAGGTCTAGTCTTAGTTCTACTTTTCTTTCAATAGAAATATACCACAATCTAACAGTATATAACATTTAGAACTAGAACTAAATCCAGGTGTCCACTTGCGAGAAATGGTCTCGAGAGAAGCTATCGAGAGTATTTTTTCTGGTGGACACGCATCTGAGAGTAACTATCAAAAAGTCCCCACCCACTTTCGGAGAGTGAACAAGTTGAGACTTGTACTCAAGTGGACATGCACAATTTATCTATCGTGAGAGAAACTATCAAAAAACGAACACGGTTCGAATTTTGCTGCGAGTTTTCTCAATATAACACGTTTAAAGATGACGCCTAAAAGAAAATGATCCAAAGAAGAAATATTTGAATTAATTGAAGTGTATGGAGAAAATTCAGTTCTATGGAATACCAAATCTAAAGAACATAGAAATCGGGAAGTGAGGGAAATTTATACGGGATTTGTACCATTGGTATCTAGTCTTCTGACAACATAATTTGGACTTCTGACAGTAAAATTAAGTCTTCTACTAACATTATTTGGTTTTTTAGTAGTAGTGTGTAGTCTTCTGTAAGAAGAATGTGCTTTATTTGCAAAATCTAGTTTTTTTATAGCAATACTTAGTCTTCTGCCAGCAATATCTAGTCTTCTACCAACAGTATTTCGTCTTCTGGTAGTAGTGTCAAGTCTTCTGTAAGAAGAATTTGCTTCATTTACAACATCTAGTCTTTCATTAGTAATACTTAGTCTTCTGCAAGAAGAAATATTTGAATTAATTAAAGTGTATGAAGAAAATTCAGTTCTTTGGAATACCAAATCTAAAGAACATAGAAATCGGGAAGCGAGGGATACAATTTTAACAACTATTGGATAAAAATTTAAACGGGATTTGTACCATTGGTAATATCTAGTCTTCTAACAATATAATTTGGACTTCTGACAGTAAAATTAAGTCTTCTACTAACAGTATTTGTTTTTTTAGTAGTAGTGTGTAGTCTTCTGTAAGAAGGATGTGCTTCATTTGCAATATCTAGTTTTTTTATAGCAATACATAGTCTTCTGCCAGCAATATCTAGTCTTCTACCAACAGTATTTCGTTTTCTGGTAGTAGTGTGAAGTCTTCTGTAAGAAGAATCTGCTTCATTTGCAACATCTAGTCTTTCATTAGTAATACTTGGTCTTCTGCCTGCAATATCTAGTCTCTTTCAGCAATTGAGGCGTTAAAGTTTTATTTTCTAATAATTTTCCAAAGTACCGAAGCCACTATTAAGCTATCACGTGCACGACAATAAACTTATGGTTTGCATTTATAAGCAATCGAGTTCACTTTTTTGTAAATCCAGTATACCAGATAACTAACAATTTGATAACGAATGTTGATATGTGTTGAACCCAACTCTAATCTACGCCAAATCCATGGTTTCAGCCAACAGCTTCTTTTTATTTTCTTGTTTACTTTTTTTTTAATTTTGCACAACACTTGCACTTGAAATTTTTTTTACATCCTTGTTTACACACACCAAAGACTGAAAGAAAATAAATTTTACTTTCCATAGCACGGACACATTTCACTAGTGGACACGGTCCTGAGAGAATTGTCTGAGAGAAAGCTCTCAAAGAGCTAAAACAGTCTCAAGTGGACACACAGTTGAGAGTAGATATCGAAAGTTACTCTCAGAAGTTTCTCTCGAGTGATCACCTAGCTTAACACTAGACATAGAACTAGAAACATTAGGGTTTAGCCGCACGTCTCTCAAGATGGCTAAACCCGAATGATTCTTGTTCTACGTCTTGTGTTAGTTCTAGTGATAGTGCACTAGAATTAACACTAGACCTAGAAAGTATGTTGAAATGTTTCTAGTTCTAGGTCTAGTGTTAGTTCTAGTGCAATAAAAATATGCAATATAGTGATATCTTATGCTAACTAGCGCTACCTCTCACTGTAACTAGAACTAACACAAGACCTAGAACTAGAAACATTCAGGTTTAGCTGTCTTAAGAGACGCACGGCTAAACCCGAATGTTTCTGGTTCTAGTGTTAGTTAGGTTATCTTCTTCTTCTTTCTTCTACTGGTAGGGTTTTGGAGTTCGAACTTAGTTAGGTTGGTGTATTTAAATAGTCTAACCCAAGGTCCGTTGAATAAACATACTGTATAAGGTATCCAACTCCCTATGAACGCTGTTGTTATGAACGTATCCCCTCCGCAAAGGCCTTGTTGTGACGTCATTGGAAGAATTGACATTTCTGTTTTCATTTATATACGTAAACCAACACAAACTCTTTATTTCTTGAGTTTAATAACACTTGTTTAATTTTTAAATAATTATTATTATTATATCATATTGTTATATTTTTCCTCCAATGGCGTCACGTTTCCCACCTTACCCCGCCAACGTCAAGTTGTTCGAGTCTGACGTTAGCTAATATCGGTAAGGTAGGCAACTGTAATAGTGTCAACTTAGCAATCAATCAATTTTTTAATTAATTTAAAAAAAAACTTTGTAAAAACACTAATTTATTATCACATAACGCTTTATTGTACCTTACAATCGTAAAAACCATAATCGATTATATTATTTAAAAAGAAATGAGTAAATTTAATGTGTAAAGAGAGGTCTATCAAAAAAGCTTAAAGCTCTAAATAAAAAAGTTAAAATCGAGATCACAGCAAAAATTAATACGGGTTTTTCAAAATTAGGTTCTAGGATACAAAAAAAATTATTTTCTATTGCACTAACATTAATAATAAATAAGCAATGAAATCAAAAAAATTACAAAAAATATTACTTTAGTACATAAAAAAAGTACTAAACAAACCACTTAACACAATTAATCTTTGATAAATCGGCTCTAATTACATTGGAATGTTAATTACTAATAAAAAAAAAATATTAACTCCCCCCAAAATCACTAAAATCATTATAATCGTTGTTGTAAAAGTTCTTCTGGTAAATTATACACTCCAAGTACTGGATAATACGTAGTTGTTTGATCAACAACCGGTTCTGGAAGTTGAGGTGGCGCTAAAACCGATCCAGGAGGATTTCTTTGAGGCATCCCCGTAGGTGGAATACTTTGCGGTTTCCTCACAGTAACTGAAGTATTAATACCATGCCTCCTTTTCATGTGTTTATTATAATTAGGCCAATTTGTGAAGTGATGTTGACATTCCAAACAAGAATAAGGTCTCTCCCCTGTGTGTTGTCTTCGATGAGTCGTTAAAACCCCTTTAAATCGGAAACTTTTCCCGCAAAACTCACAAGTAAACGGCATCGCCCCGGTATGGATCCGAACGTGTTCTTTTAAAGTCCCTCGTTCGCGAAATTGTCGACCGCAAACATCGCAACGATGAGGTTTTAACCCGGAATGAACTGAACCATGTTTTCGTAAACGAACTAAAGTTTTAAAGGCTTTTCCGCAAGTTGTACAAGCGTAAGGTCGAGCTGCTGTGTGTGTTAAAAGGTGATTATCTAAATTTCCTTTTTGAACGAAACTTTTTCCACATTGATCGCAAGTGTAATCGCGAACGCCGGTGTGAATTCGTTTGTGGACCATTAAATTAGGACGCGTTCCGAAACGTTTCGGACATTGATCACATTGATAACAATTTTTTAAATCGGTGGGGAGATGAGAGCGTGCATGAACTAATAAAGCAGATTGCATTCGGAAACGTTTTCCGCACGTCGAACAACCATGGGGGCGATCATCGCCGTGTTCAAGACGATGGGAGTCTTGTTGTTTTGCTGATGAGAACCATTTGTTACAAATATCACAACAAAATTTTAAATAATTTCGATGAACTTTAGCGTGAGCTATAAAAATACTGTATTTAAAATAAACTTTGGGGCAATCTGCACATGCATATCTAGGTGGTTGACCATGAACTGTTGCGAAATGCTCGCGGATTTCATCTGCTGAACTTAACCCGGTTGCACACGTATAACATTGCCAAGGATATTCGCCCCAACCTTTAACTGTATTTAACGGCGTTATACTTCCATCTTCATTTTTCTCAAAGTCTTCTAAATCAGATAAAGTATCCGATTCACTTTCAGCTTTACATTTACTTTTTTTTAATTTAATTTCCTCCACTTCTCCCGGTAAGTTCTCAGATATCGCCAAAAACTCAATTTCAACCGGTTTTACTTCACAATTTATCACTGTAGTTGTATTAAGCGCCTCTAAAAGCATTTGTTGTGTTCTTTGAACTTGTGCGTGAAATTCCCACGTGGTATTTACCACGTCTTTACACGAATCGCATATTGTTAAAGGTAAATTGTCTTCAATGGTTATCATAACCTGAAAAAGTTTTTCAATTCTCGTCGTTAATTCGACATCGTCTAAAGCTAACGTTAAATCGCCTCGAATTGAACCACAAAGCCTGCAGCGGGAATCCATAACATTCTCAGTTTTCTTTTAACTTTTTTCTTTTTTAAATCGGATTTCTACCTTTGACAGGTAACAACATACAGCGTCAATGAAAATGGCGTAATTCCTAAATTAAAATAAACCCGTTTTATTTTATTGTATTAACTAATTTTATTTCTTTTATATTTTCTTTATATTTGTGTTAATACACAAATTTATAATATTTTATAATTAAATAATAAATAATATATTTGAGATGGTGAATTTTAGTGTTAAAAATTCCCCAACCTAAATCACCAGATTATTATAATTTTATGAGAAATCATTAATTTTAATGTTTTAATTCAAAATTTGATTAATCTCATCAATTAAATAAAGCTACTTATATCATCATATTAATTAATAAACATATATCATAAATAATTTTGAATAAAATATTAAGTTTCCTACCCTGTTTGCCAACAAGTCAAATGTCACAACACATCACTTAACCTCAACATTACAAAATTTAATTAAACTGCGATGGATTCGTTGTACCATCAAACAAACGCACTTATTCAACAAACCCAAGAAAAATTTAAACAGTTAAATCGACATGGAGGTGATCCCGAAGAAGTCGAGATTCAAATTCAAGAGAAAATTAATACAATTAATAGGTAAAATTAATTATTAATTTTGAATAATTATTGTCATGTGGCTTAAAAAATTAAATTAATTAAATTTTTTTTGTAATCAATGTAAAATGACCCAAAAAACACGTTAAAAATATAAAGAAAGTGCGGAAAAGTGACCGAAAAATCACATTAAAGTTTCGATGTGACGTCACAAGCAATGTTAACCATGCATTTTTTTATTAAATCGGTCAACACCTAATATACAAATTGTGTATTTTATAGCCACGCACAAAATCAATCTGATAAACTTAAAAGTAAAGTTATTTTCACTAAACTAAGTGAGATTACAACGTATATTTTCGGATGAAACACGTTGTTTTTCTTAGGCTTTTGATGCATAACAACTGACTACCTATTATTAGATAGACTCTGTGTTAATACTAGAATTAACACAGACCGAAAACTAGAAACATTCGGATTTAGCTATCTGTCTCTCAAGATGGCTAAACCTGAATGATTCTAGTTTTAGGTCTTGTGTTAGTTCTAGTTTTAGTGCAATAAAATATGCGATATAGTTATATCTTATGCTAACCAGCGCTACCACCTACCGCTGCCACCAGAACTAACATTCATTTAATTGTGCGTCTTAAGAGAAGCACAAGTAAACCTGAATGTTTCTGGTTCTAGGTCTAGTGTTAGTTCTACTTTTCTTTCAAGAAAAATATACATACTACAATCTAACGTTAAATAACATTTAAAACTAGAACTAACACTAGACCTAGCAACATTCGGGTTTCTACGCACGTCTCTCAAGATGGCTAAACCTGAATGATTCTAGTTCTAGGTCTTGTGTTAGTTCTAGTGATAGTGCTAGTGTAAAACTAGAACTAACACTAGAACTAGAACTATCGAGTTTAGCCATGCGTTCCATTCCCAACCCGACATTTGAGAAATTCGCACTGGTTTAAATGTTAATTAACCTAACTCATTGTGGAATTTTTACACAAAATTCTGAAATAAATCAGTAAATTAGGTGGATCAGAATGTAACGTTTAAAGAGGGGGGGCCCTACCTCCCTCTAAAAAGATGATAATAATAATAATACATGTTTATTGATGATGAGGCACAATAATAATCAAAATAGTACAATTCCAAACAAAATAGCTTTAACCTTTGGCCAGCAGCATTGTAATCTCCAAGCACTTAGTAGTGTTTTGGCAGCAGTATATAAACTTCTGAAAGCATTAAATAGTCTTTGCCAACAATATCTAGTTTTCTCCAAGCAATTGGTAGTCTTTCCAACAATATTTAGCATTCTGAAAGTAGTTAATAGTCTTTTGGAAACAGTACCTTGTCTTTCCAAACAGATAATTGTTTCTCCCAGCAGTATTTACTCTTTTCCAAGCAGGTTGTAATTTTTTTTAGTGGTATATAGCGCTCTGAAAGCAGTAAGTAGTCTTATGGAAGCAGTATCTCGTCTTTCCAATCAGTTTGTAGTTGTTTGTTAGCACTAACGAGTCTTCTCCAAGCAGATTGTAATCTTTTCCACCAGTATCTAGCATTTTGGAAGCAGTAGGTATCTTTTTGGAGAGCATATCTCTTCTTTCCAAGTAGTTATTAGTCTTTTCCAGCAGTATTTAACATTTTGGAAGCAGTAGGTAGCTTTTTGGAAAGCATATCTCTTTTCCAAACAATTATTAAATTCTTTGAAGCAATTTTGAAAGCAATAAGTAGTCTTAGAAGCAGTATTCCGCCTATCCAAGTAGGTCAAAACCTTTAACAGCAATGTTTAGCGTTCTGGAAGCAATAGATATTATTTTGTAAACAGTATTTAGTCTTTTCCAAGTAAGTTGTGATCTTTTTTTGCAGTATCTAGCATTTTAGAAGCATTAGGTAACTTTTTGAAATAGTATTTCCTCTTTCCAAGCAGTTTTTAGTCTTATACTAGCACTATTTAATCTTCTGGTAGCAATATTTGTTTTTTTGCCACCGTTTTTTGGCTTTCGGAACCCATTAATTTAGGGGTTATAGATGGTAAACAACGACAGTTTAGTCGTTGTGCGTCGAAAACCTAAGAAACAACCGTATTTCACCCGAAAATATGCGTTTTAATCTAATTTGCTGCGAAAATATATGGTTAGCATGGTCACGTCGAATTCTTAAAGTGATTTCTTGGTAAGTTGTACACTTTTCCGCACTTTTTTTATTTGTAACGGCTTACTTGAGTGATTTCCCGTCGATTAAAAACAAAATTGTTGATTTTTCAGCGACAAGATCATTCTTGAATTATATTCTAATCGATTTTTTTTAGTAATTGTGAACGATTAGATTTAATGGTAATGAAAGTACCTATAGGACAACGTCCCAACGCTAAAATGAGATGTGATCAATTAAAATACGATAATAAACACCTTCAAGCTGCTTTAGCGGCGGAACAACAACGAAGAAAAAGACAAGAAATAGCAAAGCTTGAAAGGGAACAATTATTAAATAGACGATTCGCCCCCAATCCAGAAGCAACGATGCTCGATATGGATTTTGCGGTGCAACACAATGAATCTATGAATAGAGTTCATAAAGGTGTTGATGAAATGTTATATACGGGAGCGGAAACTTTGGAAAGTTTACGATCGCAACGATTTACGTTAAAAGGGGCGCAAAGAAAGATTATAGATATGGCGAATACTTTAGGATTGAGTACATACACCATGAAATTAATCGATCGTAGGGTTATACAAGATAAATATATTTTAATTGGGGGGATGCTTGTGACTGTTTCTGTTATGGCTCTTGTAATTATTTATTGGGCGTAAAAAAGGATCTTAATTGTAATTTATTAGTATATGTATGAATGAAAAAAGAGATTTTTATTTAATAAAATATATTTGTAATTAAGTTTTTGATTTAAATTGAGGTTCTATTTATTTTGTAGGGATTATGCCTGCAATATCGAAAATAAAAATGTTTTTTTGGGTCTAATATTTACACAAAGGAAGAATTAGAAAAGTGTGAATATTTATTTTATGTTGACTAGATCATACAATGAAAAAAATTATAATTACACGTACAGTCAATCGAGCGAATAACATCACAATAATTCTACAAAGTGTTCGCCGTTTTCGTCTTTCTCTTAAAAGTACACATTTTTGTTTTAAATTAAACGTACTTTGTAACATCTTTTTGTTATGTACATGTTTTCGTTCATAATAAATAGGGAAAAAATACGAGAGCAAATTTTTTTCTATCTAAAAAAGATTACAACTCGGGAAGATCGATTTAAAAAAGTTTGTTTCAAAATCTAAAAGCTACAAAAAAATTTTATTAAACTTAAAATAATTAAAATCTTTGGCACTGAAACTCTCGTAATTTTTTTATTTTTATTACTACTATTTTTCGTCTTATTTATTTATTTCTTTTTTGAACTGGATAAGCGAATTATTGTCATAAAAAATGAATTACTAGGCACAAAAATGAGTGCACGTAACGGTATCCTCATAAAAAGAACTACAAAAAATGCCACATTTTGATTGATTGATATGTAATACTAAACTACAACATTACATAAATAAATAAGTATACGATTAAGTCAAATTATTAAAAAAAAAAAAACGATAAACACGTTTTGAGATGGGTATAGAGATTTTAAAATTGAGCTTTTGTAACTTATTTACACGTACACGACGCGGTAAGTAGAACTCTTCTATTATTTCGTTGCGAGTTAAGTGTTATTTATCACAAGAGCGAACTGAATAATAATACAATAATACAAAAAACAATGTATAATACGAGAAATAATCTTATAATAAACACAAAAAATTCGTAATATATCGCACATGAAACGTATCACACTCATCATCATTATTATTATTATAATCGAAGAGTTATAATTTACCATTAAGAATTGCTTTGATTATACTATGTATTTTGAAAATATTTTTTTAAATATTTATGATGTATTTTATTTGAAAAAATGAGACGTTTTTCGCATAAAACGTAATCAGCCTTTTTAATAAAAAATAAAATTAAATAAAAGAAATAACGTACAAATTATAACTTAAATTTTACCTTATTAAATAACGGTTGGTACTGTGGTGTGCATTGGAGATCGTGGAGAATGAAACCTAAGCAACTCAGTTACTGTTATAGCCACTTGAACCAGACCACGTCCTTCTAAAACGTCCGCCGCACAGCATATTAAGTTCTAAAATAAAAATACACTAAATAAAAAAAAAATCGAGAAAAAATTAACACATTTTGGTAATTAAAGAAATAAGAAACAAAATTTGTTTATATTTTATTGATAAAGCTTTTTATAAATACTGGTATACATACTTTTTTTAGTTGGATACGAAATACTGTTATTGTTTCAAAAAAAAACAGGTTAAATTTAAAACTACTTAACATAATAAAAACGAAAAAAAAAAAAATCAACCATTCTACACCAAAAACTAATTATTATTTGTACCTACTTAAAAGGTGAAACCTAAAAAATTATTATTAAAAAAGAAAATAAACCCGAACAAAAAGAATTAACAACATAATAACAAAAAAAAAAGATAATTCTATTTGGTTGGCAAATAAACAAAAAAATAAGTTCTTTGTATGAATGATAATACTGGGGTATTTAAGAGGAAAGAAAAAAACTAAACGTTTTTGACTAGAAATTAAACGCGAAAATCTTTATACAAATATAAGCTCTCTAAAAGATAACTTAAAAGTTATCGTTATTATAATTTTTTTGATTAATTGGAATAAAATTTGGAATGCTTTTTTAAAAAACTTACCATTTAAATCGAACTGGAATATATCTACTGATATGATTAATGCCCAAAAATTACTGATCTAACATTAAATGGAATTCACAAAATTTTTTTTGATTTTTTTTCTAAGATTAAAGTGCAGATAAAGACATGAATTACAAAAATATTTAAATATCAGTCTGTTGTTGTCATTGGAAATATCCTGCATTAATTTTTCATTTTAATTTAAAAATTTGTGGTGTTACATGTTTGCAAGCTTAATGTTGCGTTTGTGTATACTTATAGGCACAAATGTATTGTTTGTAAACATTATTATACGTTATTCCAAATGTGCATATTTTAAATATTTGCAAATATAATAATATAACTTTCATTTTATTATATTATCTGCAGAAGTAAACGAAGCATTAACAAAGTGAATCGCAAGCTATAAAACAACCCTATTAAATTTTTTAGTTTAAAGCCATTTACGTTTATATGATAAAGATAATAAAATGGAATGTTAATAAATAGATCATCACAAAACGTTCTTTCTTTTTCTTTTTCATTCTAAGCTTTATGTTACAACAAGCGTATAATTGTAAAGTTAACAGCGATAATAAGCTGCCTTTAATTTCCTGATTGATGTATCATCACATTTTTAATTATATAGGGTGTTAAATTTTTTTATTAACACGCTATATATTTAGTTTATTATTCATTATTATTATAGAGTTTAATAGTAATAAGTAGTTAATTAAACAGCGAAAAATAAATTAAGAATTAAAAATTAATCTCTGCTTTTTAAGTCGCAGCAATAACGAACAATTTAAATTATCCCGAGGAATGTTTCATTAAAAACTTTGTAATGCAAAAATAAATAAATAATCTCCACCATCACTTTTTGATCATTTTTTTTTGTTTTTTTTATTTATCCGGGTGGAGGAAAAACGAGAAGCAGAACCACAGTGATGACGAACGTCGCAAGCAACAAGAGTGAGACTATGGTGTCGTGGAGCCCCCCGGGCGGCTTTTGTGATGCCTTCGGGTGGTCGACCTTCAGTTGGCAGAGCGCCTCGACGGTGTCCAGTAACCGCGGAAGGCCTCGTCCACTCAACTGCTCGGTTACATCAACGCTACTGCACAGCAGCCCCTGCAACCAACACCCATAGTCTCACTCTTCAGCACATCATTAATTTTTTAGGGATCATTTTTTTTTTCAAAGCATTTAAGTATAATTTTTAAGATTTTGGAAGGATATTAAAAAAGTTAGCAAAGAAAAGCGGGTTTAAGCTTTATGTAATCATTTTTTTTAACTTACCTCATCCACTCCAATCTTTTTACAAGCTTCAATAAAATTATCAACGTTCCTTCGACATCTTGCCATCGTTAATTTGGGCTAAAAACATTTGCAATAGTTAAAAATAATAAATTTAGAATAATGTTATTGTACTATAATTGATATTTATTAACATAATAAAGTATGAAGGTTTTCAAAGTGTTAATTAAGCTAAAACTAGAACTAACAGTAGCACTATCACTAGAACCTTCTTCAAAAACAAGTTACAACTATACTCTATTGGTCAGTTTTCAAACAATCGGGTTTAGCCGCACGTCTTTCAGTATGGCTAAACCCAAGGTCTATAGAACATAAGATTACCTAATTCCCTATGCCTCTGTAGTATCGATTATTACCCCGCAGATTGAAGTCACTGGTTCGATACAGTCAGAGTAAAAGATAGCCTATACTGTGGTACAGTCTATATAAAATATTTAAACCTCGCATCTTGTTGTGTTGTTCATAGAACCAGCTACGTCACTGACCCACCTTGCCCCTCAGAGAAAGAGAATAGGCATTGGGTAACCTTATGTTCTATAGACCTTGGGCTAAACCTGAATGATTCTAGTTCTAGTCTAGTGTTAGTTCTAGTGATAGTGTAAAACTAGAACTAACACTAGACCTAGAAAGTATCGGGTTTAGACCAAAAATGCATATTGGTAGAAACGATCGTCGGCCAAAACACGATTTATTATAGAATTGATTTTTTTATTGATTGACATTCAAATGTCATCTTAACGTTTAAACGTCATTTCGACGTTTACAAATCACAATACATTTCTCTGAAATGGTACCAACCTAAATTTTTGGAAATCATTTGATGAATGTCTAATATTTCTTACCAATTTTTTTATAACTTTTATGATATATTAGGATATTTCGACACTTTTAATATTTCACAAAGATTTTTTTCATCAAATTAACAGATTTTTGAGTTTTTTTAATATCTACTTTTTTTAATGACTTTGACGTTTAAAAGTCAAATAATATTTTTACTTTTTGTACAAATCATTTGCAATAATGGTGTTCATTATTTCATTCTGATAAATGTTATAGTTTTCCCTTTTCTTGTTCTATTTATAACCCTTATCGATTTTTTTAATAATTTTGAAATACAAATGTCATCTTAACGTTTAAACGTCATTTTGACATTTAAAAACCACAACACATCCCTAAAATCGTACCAACCTAAATTTTTTGAAATAATTTGATGAATATTGTATATTTCATATAAGTTTTTCTATACTTTTTTTGATTTATAATAATATATTTCGTTAATTTTAGTATTTCCATAAGATTTTTTACATTAAATTAACTGATTTTTGATATCTTAACGATATTGACGATTAATTGTCAAATTGACGTTTAAAAGTCGTTTTTCAGCAGTGCGTCTTCAGACGCCCTATAATAGTTTTTATTGTTTTAATAAAATCTCTCTGGTTTTAAAACTCCCACCAAAAAATAGCTTTGAAAAATTACACTGTGTAAAAATGACTTTTCATTTTACTACTCCGAATTAAAAAATAGAGATCTAGTTCAATATTAAGATTAAATGACGTTAACAAACTTAACAGAAAGCAAAAATAGCAAAAATTTTAGAAAAAATAGCTCTTCCTACAAAATAACTAAACGAAATAAATACAAAATAATTAATAATTACAAATAAATACCAATTATAGTATAAAAACAATGATGATTAATTTGCAATGATTGAAATATTACTACATAAAAATACTTACAACAGCTGGAGAAGGAACATGTATACTCGCAACTGATCTGGGTTTGATATGATTTGCTAAATGACAAAGAACAACTCCATCTGTTAAAACGGGAGCTAAATCTTCTGGTAGAGCCATTTTTAATTTCGTCTCAATAATCTAAAATTTATTTTGAGTTTAACTTAATAATTAATTTATTTTTATTTCACTTACATTTCTTAATTGATTAATCAATTCAGTTTCTTCCTTAGCTTTATCGATTTCCCTTCTCATAGTAAACGTCATTTTATCTTTTGGTACATCTTGATTCCAAGTAATATTTCGGTTCGATTTCATTCCGTTTAAATTATTTTTGTTCGTCCCATTTACATAACCCCCATTAAAAGCTCTTGGGCTATTCGGTTTTCCATTTGAAACTGAAACTGTAGTTGGCACATTATCATGCGAAAGGATTCCAGTTGATTGTAAATTTGGTGAACTAGGTTTGATGTAGTCTTGAATGTATTTCGTTGGACTGTTTTTGTTGGGAGTTGTATCGCCGTTTGTTCCGTTAGTAAGCGGTTGATGTGCTGGAGAACTTGTTGCTGGAGTTGAACTTCTTGATGGTGTCACTTTTTGAATTGGCTTTTTCGGACCTGTATCGTCATAAATATGTTTAGGACTACTACTAAACGGGGCGTTTAATGGAGTCGGGTCCGATTTTGATGTCGCTAAAGTGCGAGCTGGTGACCCGTGATGCGTTGGGGTGTTCGGTTCCGTTTTGTAACTATGATCATCAGAATCTTTAGTACGATAAATTGAAGGTACGTCTTGTGCTCTTTGTTGTCTAAGAGCTTCTTTGTATTCCCTAATGATATCAATGTTGTTAGTGATGAGGGGTTATTATTTACGAAAAAAAGTACTTACTTGTAAGTTTGAATTTGTTGTAATTTCGGTTTTTCTTCACTTCCATTAGATAGATTTTGCGAATCGGGGTATGGAACAACGCGAACACTAGAAGGAAAAATCACACCAGGCAATGTTAATTTAAATTAGCATAATTAGAATTTTTAATGAATAGATTTATCAAAGCAATATGAGGTTGTTACATAAAATCAACAAAAATAATAAATAAACAAAAAAAAAGTTAAATTTAAAATTCTAATAATAAAAAAAAACAATTTCAACATTCAAAATGTTAATTTATATGCTTTGTTTGTCACAACCCATAATAAATCTAATTGCAAAAATCAGTATGTAGCAAATAAAAAAAAACAGAGAAATGGAATTCTTCAATTTGTCCCTAGAAGAAAACTTACGATGACCTACCCAAAAATCAATAACTTAAATACCAATCGAATCGTTTTCAAAATTTACCTTTGGTTAAGTCTGTCGTCTCTTTTATCGCAGACGTCAATTGAAGGGTTAGCTCGTGATCCATCATCTTCAAAGGTGTTATCCAAACCAGGTGATATAGTTGAGGGTGTTGAATTGTTTGAATGTGTTCCATTATGTTCGTTGGTTCTGTTTGGTATTGGCGTAGAAGACCAATGTCTTTCAGTCTCACCTAAAAATATTATTTAATACGTTTATAATTTTCATATCGAGGTTTTCTGTATTAAATTTTGTACCTGGAAGTTCCTGAGACCATCTTTTATCATAACAATCCGTACTATAACCACTATCAACATTTTGCCTTTTTTGTTTAAGTCTCTGGGAAAGATGTAAAGAAGGAGATGTGGAAGCACTGCCAGCGTTCTTCCTTGGTTTCCTTCCTAACGTTCCAGAACCATTCAATCCAACCTTATGTCCTAATTTTATGGCCTCTATTTCTAAGTACTTGAAAATGTGTATCCTACCACGTTTACACAGCTACAATAAAAAATAATAAAGCTTTTTTTCAATAATTTTGATTTACTTACGCTAGCAGGAGGACTAGTTAATGGATTATCATCAACCATTAAATGAATAACAGTCGTCATATTCCTCATTTCAACTGGCAAATTACTTATTCTATTTGCTCGAAGATCCAGTCGAGTCAAGTTCAAATAAGTAATTTCCAACGGAACACAAAGAAGGAGATTATTTCTCAATTCCAAACTTTGTAAATGTTTCAATTCTCCAAGTCGCGGAGGTAAATGAGTCAGTCTGTTGCAGGAAGCATCCAGTTCTGTTAACTTTTGCATTTTGCACATTTCGTCTGGAAGGCATGAGAGTTGGTTGTTGGCCACTAAAAGAATCTGAACAAAAATTATTACAAAAAACAAATCTGAATTAACCACCTTGAACTAATCATACCTGTACTGGTAGGAGACATATCTCCCTTGGAAGAGAAGTTAATTGATTTCTACTTAGATCTAAGTATGTAAGACACTGCAGGTTACTGATACTGTCAGGTATGTATCTAATAGCGTTGTGATAACACTGTAAACGTTCTAAAAATGGAAACTCCGTTATCTTTACTGGCAGTTCACTAAAATGATTTCTTGAAAGATCTGAAACCAAGATAATTAATTTTAATTAATATTATGATGGTGAAACTACTATTAATTTAATGACCGGAAATCGATTAGTCATATCGCCGTTTACATCCGGCGATATTTCGCAATAAAACGTACTTGGTTTGTTGGAACCTACATCAGACACCTGCTTGGTATTCTCGCTTTCAGTGTGAAAATGTAGGATAATTACAACACGTCGCGGTCGATCTCCAAAGATTGAAAGTGAAACAATGGATGTGTCTCGAATGAGACAACAAGAACCAAAGATGTGCATTTCATCCGCGACACACAGGAGACGGTGAGGCGTAAACAAAAGAATTCCCACAAGTAGAAGCCCTTCGGCGGAAACTGGTGTTTGTGGACGAGGGAAACGAGCGAAGAAGGATGAGCGACCTGTTAAATAATTCAAAATACGACGACGGGCGGCGGCGTCTTCGACGGAAACAGAACCCCATTCAATTCGGATTCTATGCGTTCACCATGAAAATGCATTGACTCGGAAATTTACTTGTCACGTACTTATATTAAGATTTTAGGTAAACTTTTCGATTTGGTAATTCAAAAATTATTGCTTTCATGAACACACCCTCCAATTTTACTAGTAGTTAATGACTTCCATTACATTACTTTTATGGGCCATAATACTCATCTATAAATCTTCACGGTTATGAAAGTATTTCACATAAAAAATACGAAATTAGCGCATTTAGTGATCTGTGGGGGAAAATAAAAACTTCCCCTAGCTAATATATGTAATAATGCATTCTAACGGAGATAAATCATATAAATCCAACGATGGGAAAGTATAAAAGTTTGAGGTTGAAAAAATGAAACCAATGCGATATAAAATAAACAAATAATTTTTGCGTCCTAAATATAGTTTTTAGAACACTAAATATTGCTGGCAGAAGACTATATACTGCAATGAATAACTAAATCTTCCTTGTTTAAGACTAAGCACTGCTAGCAGAAGACTAAATATTGCTAATTAAAGAATAGATACTACTAATAAAATCTTACATATTGCTGGTAACGAATTATATACTATGGGAGACGATGAGACTAGATTCGATTAATAGAAAACTGAATACTGTTGACAGAAGACTAGACGGACCTAGCAGAAATCTAGATACTATTGGTAGAAGTTACCAAAAGGGTTTGAAAGATTGAATGAGGTGGTGATTCAGCCAAACTACCCGGTTTCCATGGCACCGCAGTAAATTGATAAAATTATGAAGACAAGGTTACTGGTTCTAAGATTATTGATGGTTTTAAGGTAAGAAAATGGCGTTTATCAGGCGTTAAACTTAATATTGAATATAGTGCTTAGTATTTAATCTGTTTAATGTTTATTATCAATATTTTTATTAGCTGACACTAAATCAGTGAATTAAAAAAATATTAGAATACAGAAGCAACATAATCAAACTTGGCACAAACAAATATACTCATCGATTGATCGTTATTTTTAGCGCACAGGAAACGTATAAATTATAATCTAAATAAGCATGAATTTGAAGCGAGCGGCTGTGAAGATATTTATAGCTGGAAATTATCAGAAATCTGCAGAATAAACAAATTTAGATTTGTTCTACATGTATATGAGTTAAACTATAGTTAGAAACGCGGAAGCAATTTGTTTGGTGCGAGTTTATTAATCGACTCAATTAAAAAATTAAATGGAAAAAAAATCGATTTCAATTTAAAACGTCCTAGAACTCCATTCAATTTAAATTAAGGCACTCATTATTATTTGAAACACTTTTAACAATAAAATAATAAAAGTAAGTTCTAAATTTAGCCTAATATTAAATTGCAAATTGATTCTTTGTGTTAAAAAGAAACCGCACAGTACACGAATTTATTTAATTGTTTTAGTTGGTCTTGGAGAGAGATGATCATAACCGAGAACAGAAAATCATTAGGGTGCAGGGCACGTGGCAGATTTAGCGCCATCTGCAAGAACAGCTGCTTGAAAAGTTTTAAACCTAATGTTACGACGTACGGTCTATAATTCAATGTATTTCCGTTGCCAATATTACAAGCTGTAAAGAAGCTGACACATTCATAGCTTCAGTAACCCTGAAAAGCTAATTATAAAATCACGAAGAAAAACTTGAACAAAAAACATCAATGTATTTCTTTAGTTATTCTTTTATTAATAATAAATTATTTGCAGACATCGTTTCTATTCAACAAACATAATGTGCCAACGAGGAGTAATTGTCGCTAAATTATTAGTATCCCAACGGCGCCACACACTGCACCCAGTTCTATTGTATCTGACGCGACGCCAATGGCAAACAGGTGGCACGGTGTAAAATAACGCCAAGAAGAACCACGCAAACCAGTTAAACGTTATTTGAATAAACGGCGCCTAGTCTACGTTATGGCAGCGCTTTTCAACCGTGAGCTATGACGATGAAACAGGAAGAACAAGTAGGTTGTATCGTATGGTACAGCGCCATCGGAGAAATTCACTCGATAAACAGACTGTGTAAACAGGAACTGAAACCGCAAAGATGACGTTAGGTTTGGTCTGAACTCGAATGACTATGAACCTTCATTTGTAAAATGCGAACGGAACGACCGCAATTAAAATTGCATTATAACCCTGTTTTTGTGTTGAAAGGAAAGAGCTAATTAGATTTATTGCTGTGTTGTAATGAGAATCGTTTTAGACATTGCTTTCCGCGTTTATTTCTCATGAAATATATTTATTAGCACATTGTTTGCAAATATATTTAGCACTTGATGAAAGAATAAAAATGTTGCTTTTAAATTATTATAACGGATTCAAAGAGCTTTAGTTTATCGATTTCTTTAAATCTTAGAAAACAGTAATAAATCCTATTAGACCATCGACAAACTGCCACTAACAGCTGTAAACTCGAACACGCCCCAATTTAATTTTCCTACCAACGCCATTTCCCCCAGGCTTTCCATAACAGTACATTCCAGAACAAAAACATTTTCCCAATATCCCCTTTTTGACATGCTTTTAACCAACGTCCACGGTACACGGTGGTACGGGAGGAAGCTCACCCTACTTGTGCTAGGTTATGTCTATGTCGGTTGGTATCGATCCGAAATTTTTGGGTATGCCTCACGCAACCCCACACGATGAGATGACAGCATTCATGGTTTGATGATTAAACCGGAGTAAAGGGCATGTGAGGATTCGAGAAACACGTAAGGATTGGGAACGTTGTAAATGCACTGGGAGTAGACGTAGACTTAATCAAATTGGGAGCTTACAAAAAGGGGATTTTGCAGGATCGATGAATCTCTAAATAATGGAGGGTGGTGGTGGTGGGAAGGAAACAGGACTTTTGGGAATTCGGGGTGATCAAAAAATTTTGGAGTAAATGTAGCCCTAATTTTCTGTATTGTGTAACTAAAATAGTTATTTATGTATACTGAGAACACAGTATACATAAATGAGGTCGTACTTCTATTTTAGATTCAAGATCTAAATAGTACAGAATCCAGTTCAATTTCATCCAGGTTAAAATTATTCACTGTATAATATCTACATTGTAATTCTGAGTAAAATGAGTTTGATTACATATCGATGACTAAAAGCGTTCCTTTCACAATATGTGTACTTAAATTTTTATCTTCAACATATAATGCAGAACCTGTTATCGACATAAATAATGAAATTTCCAAACACACATTGATAAGATTAGTTTTAACAATAGCCAACAAAATAAATGATTATTAACGAAAACTACACAAAATAAATCGATGTCTGATTTACGATAACTCCAATCTGCGATTCATTTCGCATAATTCCTCCCACCTGCGTCACGATTCCATCGATTTTACTCATCCTTCTTCTGTTACGCCGGATGATTAATGGCATTGACGTCAACGAGGAAAAAGACGATATCAAGGTAAATTAAGTATAGCACTTTAACAAAATGTGCTTACTTGAACTGGTGTGTGATGAAAAGATCCCGGAAATAGGAAGGAAACCGGAGAACCAGTCGTTTACGATGTCTAAAATATTGTTATGGCATCTTGAGTTTCATCTTCATACAGCGAAGTAACGGATCTTTTATTGTGGCACGCACTCGTCATGTTGCGTTATGTAATTTTCATTCTGGGACGAAAAATGATGTTGTTACGTGTGCACATGCGAAACGCGATGATGTTTTTGTGGTACGACGCCGCAATCGGTTCGTGGTTCGAGAAAAAAGAAATTTGGTATCGTTAATTTTTACGATCCCTTGTGGTTTTAACCTCAATCAGTTTAACGTGTTTTTCGTTTTATACAAGAAGTTCCCATTATCTTGAAATTTGTAACTACAGTAAAACCTGGATATAACGGATTAATACGGTGAAGGGAGTGTTTGCTAGAATCTAAGTGGACTGCTACATTCATGGACCAGATGCACAGCTCTAGTAACAGTGTTAGTATAGCACTAGAGCTAACACAAGACCTAGAACTAGAATCATTCGAGTTTAGCCATACGTCTCTTCTAGTTCTAAGTCTAGTGTTAGTTCTAGTTTTAGTGGTTGATCAGCGTTAGATTACATTTTTTATTGAACCAAAACTAGAAACTGTTAATATAGTAGAAATTGACCAAGGAAGTTTTTTTGTATTTACGGTGAAAGATAATGGGGAATGCGTTGCGGTTAAAAGCAAATCGATTAGAAATTCCAATCAACTCAAAATTTCTGAATACTCGAGGAAAATCGATTTCACAAGAACAATTTTACAATTAAAATTCTGTTTGAATCTAATCTAAGAATCATAAACTTTATTTGACACAACAAAATGAGGAAGTTGATGAAGTTTTGAATAAACTGGTATGCAAACATTGTTGTACAAAATTCTGAAACTAGTTAGTTTGACACAGACAAACTACCAACAATACATAACGCACACATCAGATTAAAACACTAAAATGCATGTTTAAACGATTTTTTGTTGTTACGTGTCGTGTTTGGTCTTGTTTTTGAAACCTCTCGTTTAATTTAATTTT